AGTGACATTGCTGGTTGCTGCATTGTTTACATACCATATAGCCTTTGTCTTTTGCTTTTATTTAATTTAAAAAGTGTTCATATTCAACATGAGTAGCATGCTTGATTCACAAGATCAGAGGTTCACCAACTTTCTCAATTCATAGTGCCCTTAGTGCCTTGCTAATTTCTTCACAGTGCTTCCAGTTCAAAAGAATTACCCATCAATTCCCTTTAGTAAGTAGTCAGGCTCAAACAACTCAACAAGCACGAATGTCCTAAAAACTTAGTAGGCATTTTTTTTAAATCATACAACATTTGTAAGAAAAGAAACATTCTGTTTACTTTATTCTCCAATACTCGCAATTTCTAATGAGATGTCCATGATGGTTAGGCTCTGCAAAACTTGTCAAGTCTTAACATCAGATTGGGCACCACTACTGTTTCCTGTTCCACAGTGATTTTCACATGGTTCTCACTTTTTAACACAGCCTCTGAAAACTGAGCTTCCCAAAGATAGACTATCATCCAGAAAAGTATACTGTGATCTAATGTTAAAAATAAGTTCAAAGTACCTCAAGTTAGTAGTTTGCAGTGTCTAACAAAGGTTACTGTGTTTTCCTCAAACAGTTAAAATATCACACAGTTCCCATGTGAATTCACTGCAGCGTCCTGGGTGCCTTTGTGCAGTTTAGAAATCGAGGTACTAGAATTAACGTTTCTTGATGATGTCATGAACTATGCCATCCATGTACATATCCAAATTTTCTGTGCCTAGCATAGGGACGAATGTACTCAATAGACATTGCTTAAAGAATGTTGCTTTTGGTTAATACTTTTCCAGTTTAGATTATCTTAATTCACAGTATTACAATTTGATATCGTATATCCAATGTATATACAGTCCCTGCCAACGCAGAATGATATATTTTCTTACATACACTCAAAGAGTTTAGGTGGAGGAAATTGGTGGAGTCATCTCTATTTGGAACATCTCAGATATTTCTCCATAAAAAAAAGGTTTTATCTCAAAGATTCCTAGATTTTCTCTAAACTTAGAAAAACGCTTGAAAAGTCTCATCACCTGCTTGCTCCCTGACATGGTTTGGCTCTGTGTCCCCACCCAAATCTCATGTCAAATATTAACCCCTGCATGTCAGAGGAGGGGCCTGGTGGGAGGTGACTGGACCATGGGGGCGGCTTTCCCCCTTGCTGTTGTTGTGATAGTAAGTGATTCTCATGAGATCTGATGGTTTAGAAATGTGGCACTTCCCCCTTTGCTCTCTCTCCCTCTTGCTCCACCATGCTAAAATGTGCCTTGCTTCCCCTTTGCCTTCTGCCATAATTGTAAACTTCCTGAGGCCTCCTTAGCAGAACTGTGAGTCAATTTAACCTCTTTTCTTCATAAATTTCCCAGTTTCAGGTAGTTCTTTAGAGCAGTGTGATAATGGACTAATACACTCTCTAAGATATTACAAACATGCATAGAGGTAAGTGTATGAACCAAAGATTGCTTGGATCACTTGATTTTATCCAGAGGTGGATGGAGGTGCATGTGTCCAGAAACAGAGGACTTTTTCCCTGCCTTTTAATTCCCTCTGAACACAGAGGCTTTGGCCTGTGACTCCTACATGGATACTGTATAGCTGAGTGAATCTGAAGAATCATATACCACACAACACAGTCCTGGTTAAAAATGAATACGCAGTGGTGTACATATGCCTAATGATACAGACAGACAATGGATACAGTCCTCGTCCAGCTACAACAAGAATGAATCTTGAAAACATGATGCTACGTGAAAGAAGCCAACACAAAAGGCCACATGCATGCTCCTATTGGTCTGATATGTCTAGAACAGGCAAATTCATAGAGATAGAAAGCAGAACAGAAGTTATCAGGGGCTGAGGGCAAGTGAATAGGGAGTTATTGTTTAATGGGTGTAAAATTTCTGTTAGATATGATAGTAATGTCTGGAAATGGATAATGGTAATGATTGCACAACTTTATAAATGTACTTACTGCCACTGAATTCTACATTTATAAATGCTTAAAATAGGAAACGGCATGATACATGTATTTTGCCATTTTACCATACACAGACACAAAATTTCCCAGCCTGGAGAATGAGCTTTGCTTTAAAAATAAAGCATCAAACTTTATTTTGTCATCAAAAAATAAAGTTTAGAAAGGCAAGACCACCACAGCAAGCATATTTTCTAAAGCCACAAAATGCCCAATTAGAGCAGGGATTGACAAACCTTCTGTAAAATGATCAGAAAGTGAATATTTTAGGCCTTACAGACTGCAGGGTCTTTACAGACTTGCAACTTTTCAAATCTGTCCTTGAGTCTGCAAAGTAACTGTAAAAAACATGTAAATAAATGAGCATGCCTGATTTTTTAGCAAATCTTTATTCATGGACACTGAATTTGAATTTGTTGCTATTTTCACATATCACAAACTATTGTTCTGTTTTTGACTTTTCTTCTAATCACTTTAAAACATCAAAACTATTCTTAGCTCATGGATCTTATAAAGACAGACAGACTTGGCCTCTAGGCCATAGTTTGCTGATCCCTGAGCTGGAATTCCAAAGCAAGGCTGAGACAATACTGTACTGATAACTGTGGATTCTCTTCCAATATTAGAGATGGTTTTCCATGACGAGTGGGAAATGTCCTCCTTGGAAAACCTGTTATCCAGTGGCTCAGGCAGCATGAGGCATTCTGCAGTTGAGACAAACCTGAAGTTGGTGCTCATTTTCCCTTTTGAAACTTGGCCCCCCTATCCCATCAGGCCCCTAGGGCTAGCAGGATGCTTCATCGATCCAGCCAGGGAGAAAATCCATTCGATTCACTACAGGATGCTAAGAATGCCTTTTAACATCTCTTATAGGATTATTTTTTACTGCAACAGACACTTCAAATAAAGCAAAAAGCATAAGCAAGAAAAAAAAGAAGGAAAGAAAAGAACAGCCATTGTGGTAAAATTTATGGAAAGCATATTCTCAGTGAGGGAAATTTCCATTACTGCTCAAAGAAAATGCTAGGCGTAATTTTTAAAAAATAGTAGTGGCATACTTTCTGGAAGGAAATTTGCAGGGAAAGAGGCTAGGAGCTGCCCAACACTACTAAAATAATATGAGTCAGGCATGTACTTCATTGCGCATATGACCAGATTCATTGGATGAGTAGAATCTAATTCAACACATTATAATAGCATCCAGTTTGAGTTAAAGACTTGAGATACAAGGTTCCCTAGTGTACGTACTATGAGTATTAAATGCATATTCTCAGTTTGTTTGTTGGTTTGGAGGGGTGGGTGTTGAGAGCGGGTTGGTCGCAAGGTATAAATTCCAGATTTTCTAACTACAAAAATTTAATTTCTATTATAGCTGTTCCTGTCTCTCAGAGCCCTTAAACAAGAAGCATTTCTTCTCAAATCAACTGCTGCCATTTGAAATAAAGCCCCTGGTCAGTGACTCTAATACCCCCTACTGGGCAATATACAGGGGGAAGCTGTAGGGGGCCCCCCCACCCAGCCCCACCACCGACCACGTGCCTGGAGTGCTCTTTCAAATGGCTCAGAGCTCCCTTTGAGATTCAAGGGCTGCTGACAGCGGGGAGCGTCACAGGGCCCCCGCTGGGCTGCTTCCTTGAACTTGTCCTTCTTCTAATTTTTAACATCTCTTCCTCTTTAATTCTCAGATTCCTCCTCTCATTTTTGTGTTTGAAGTCTCTGTATTAGCTTGCAGTGCCATTTCGTCAACACATTAGGTTACAATTGGCTCTAAATAATTTAAATATTTGGTCGGAACGAAGACAGCCACAGCCTGCATGTCCAGCTGAGCTCAGAAAGACCTTCCTTCATTAGTTCTAACATTATTTCTCATAAAATAGGAGGCCATTTGAGTAAAATGATAGTGGAAAAATTTTTAAACAGAACCAGCAAATAAACATGGTCTTTATGAGTTGTAACTCAATCCCCAGCTGATGTCATGTTTCATGTTTCAACTGCCAGAAAATGCCTGACATCTATATATCAGGCAGATTTATGGAGACTTCAGGGTAAGAGTTAAGAGGATCCCTTAAATAAGGATAGTGTGTTGGTCTGGGGGTAATTTGGAGCTGCTTTTAGCCATAGATTGAAATGTGCACATTTGGGTAAATTATAGGAATATGCCTTTCTACTTAATCTCTTTTTTATGTTCCAAAAATCTTTAGATCTGGGAGGTGGATACATGGGGCAGGGTCGGGGGTGGCGGCAGGGTGGGAAGAGAGAAAGAGAGAGAATGAGAGATCTTTCAAAATATGATTCTCTTTTGCCCCTATTTGGTCATTGATGTTTCTTTGGCAATGCTAGAGAGAAAAGATCCTGCATTACAAATCTCAGAATCATAAACCACACACAGACTCTCACCCCACCCAGGCATCTCTTGGTGGCAATACGGTTGTGTTGGCTACAGGAGGTGACCAAGGATGTGGCACCCTGGTAGTTTCCTATTAAGAAATTATTGTTAAGTCTGCTCTATGACAGCAGTTACCCCACAAGGACAGAGCTTTCCTAATATAAAACTCTCTTTATATTGTACAAGTTGGGAGCCAATTATCCCAGAAAAATAGTTTTGAAATAGCCCCAGAAAAAAATAACTCATACAGTTTTGACATGCATTGACTATACATTTGCACTCATGCTTCTCATAGGTCTAATTTGGTGAATTAGCAAGAATAAATTCCACTAGCTGATGTAACAAACACCCCCAAATTTCAGTGGCTTAATACAGTAAGGGTCTATTTGTTGCTTATATTATAGTCCTACTGGATATTCAGATTTCCACATGGTGATTCAAATACCCAGTGTTTGTACAACTGGTGACTTGGTAATCTGCAAAGACTTGGAATGCTCTACTGCATACTCTGCATCTTCCTAGGAAGTTTTAAAAAAAGAGAGAAACCAGGAGAAATACATAGGAGGTTTAATGGATAATTGGTCAGACTCGGTCACATGGCTCCACTTTACCTGCAGAATATGCTGAGAAAAGTGGTGTAGCTGTGATCCCAGGAAGGACAACTGGCTTCCAGCTTCCATTTTTGTGTAGAAACCAATGTGCTGCACTGCTGAATGGCTTCTGGGATTTCCTCAGAGACTAAAAGATTTGAAATAACAAAAAAAAATATTTTGTTACGTTAATATCTCATTGTGGACATGGGTATAATTTTCCTTAGCACTCACACTCATCCTATGAGGTAGGAAAGTCAAGTACTGTTGTCCCTACTTTTACATGGAACTCTGAGTGGGAGCAGGGACTTGCCTGTGCCCCAGGACATGAAACGAGTGTGACGAACTTGAATCAGAGCCCAGCTATCCCTGTGTTTACTACTGTATGAACAGGATAGGAGTAGAGGAAGTGGGGAACGGGGCGAGGAAGGAAAGGTGAGCTCAAGTGAGTTGGGAACTAGATAAAGTTGGAAGGCTAGTTTTGGTTTTGTCCGGGTGTTGGTGAAGACGTACTTATAGGATGTTTGAGGGGTGAGGCTTGAAATTATTTCAGTTCTCTGCTTTGTGGTTAAACGCCAGCTTGATTCAGAGATCCAATCCCTGTATGTTTCCATACACCTTTGTTTTTAATTTCTCTTCTTTCTTTTGCTTCTTTTCTTCTTAGTTTCTGTTGTTTCTTTCGGAAGTGGAAGTGCCGCTTTTTGCCGTGGTATGTTAATGTAACAATATTAAATGGTTATGATAGCAGACAAAGTGCAAGAGGGAAAGCTCTTATGACCTCCCATAATGAAAGGTGGCTCTGAATAGATGAAAACCTGTTACAATGGAACTGGCATAACAGGAGGGTTAAGGTTAGAAAACCCGTGTGTGTTGATTTCCACTGCCGGTACAATCATAATGGAATGTCTTCCTCCTTCACACCACAGAAAGAGCAGAGCTCAAGCCTCTTTGCTCTGGGTATGCAGCTTCAAAGAAGTGTTGCAAGCCTTCATAATCACGATTTCAAAGAGGTTGTGGAAATGTTTTATTAATTCTTATAAAGCAATCCTTTTTTCTTAATTTTTTCATTAACTTTAGACATTTACTTGCAATTACATTTGTTCAGTGAATACAATGACAGAAATTAATAATTCATAGCTTTTGTCAGGAAAAATTTAAAAAAAGAACCGTTGTTCAATCAAATACAACTTTAAATGCACAATCTTTATTTAAATAAGATTTTAAAAATAAATAATGGGGACTGTTATTGTACTTCCTAGAAACCTCTTCTTTTCCAAATTATATCTATGTTATACCCAGTGACATGAAATCCTGGGTTGTTCAGAGCACATCATGAAAATAACAGGTTCAGGTCTAATGATCTAAAAGGGGGGAAATTTGACTCCAGTTCAGTATTTGTGGGACTGCCTGAATCTTCTGGGCCCTTGTGGTTGATGGCAGAAAATGAGAGCATGATAAAGTTGGAAAAAATCAAAAAGATTTTGCCTTCTTGACAACTCCTCTTGTGACTACTGGGGAAATTAAGATCCACAGAAAGAGAGTGTATTAGTCCATGCTCGCACTGCTATAAGGAACAACCTGAGACTGGGTAATTTATGAAGAAAGGAGGTTTAATTGACTCACAGTTCTTCAAGTTGTATGGGAAGCATGGCTAGGGCAGCCTCAGGAAGCTTACAATTGTCGCAGAAGGCGAGGAGGAAGCAAACACATCCTATGTGACGGAGCAGGAGACAGAAAGTGTAGGGGGAGGTGCTACACACTGTTAAACAACCAGATCTCGTGAGAACTCATTCACTATCATGAGAACAGCAAGACTGAGTGATCCAATCACCTCCCACAAAGCTCTTCCTCCAATATTGAAGATTATAATTTGACAGAAGGTTCGAGTGGGGACACAGAGCCAGACTATATCAGACAGGGAGTCTTCTGAGTTCACAAAGGGAGTTAGTGGCACAAACAGGGCTGGCACATAGGTGCCCTGACTTCTCAGACCAAGCTTTTTCAATCTGTGATGCTGTCTTTATAATTCCCCCAGGACTTGCCTAATGAACATTTCCTGGGGATTAAGATTTGAGGTGTGCTAGGCAGACCAAACATTTCATCCCAATTGCCTAGCAACTCATCTGAAATTGTATCATGTTTCCCTTGTTCCAATGCAAATATCTAACACTATCAATCAATTTACGTGGAAAAGAAGGGTAGAAAATAAGGCCCAGGCCTGGCAGAAATAAGATGACATGTGGAGTGGTAGCAAGCTTTGCAGTGAGGTCAGAAGACAGTGGATAAGATGAGGACTCTAGGGCTGTCTTCCTCATCCTGCCTGCTCCAACTGATAAGGAGTAAAGACCTGGCTGAAAAACCAGTTCTACCCCTACTTGTCCCAGTCAAAAATATGGCATTGGAATCTGTCTGAAAAAGAAAAGAAGAATAAAGAAAAGTCAAATTTTTTAAAACTTCCAGGGAATTTCTAGCTCATCAGTAAGACTGGAAAGGGCAGTTTAACATAATGGTTAAAAATGCCTCTAGGTTTTAGTTTAAAATAAAATTTTTAAAAAGATGAGATTTTACTCTGTGGCCCAGGCTGGAGTGGCATGATTACAGGTCACTGCAGCCTTGAACTCCTGGGTTCAAGTAATTCCGACACCTCAGCCTCCTGAGTAACTAGAACCACAGGCACAAAATACCATTCCTGGGTAATTAAAAAAAATTTTTTTTTTTGTAGAGATGGAGGTCTTACTATGTCACCCAGGCTGATCTTGAATTCCTGGCCTCAACCTTATGCCTTGACCTCCCAAAATGCTGGGATTACAGGCACTTGGTTTAGGTTCGAATCCTGATTCAGTCAGCTATCAGTTCTGTGCTTTGGGAAAACCATTACCAAGATCTCTGAGTCTTTATTTGTAAAATGAGGATGGATCAGTTAGCTATTGTGCTGTTAACAAACTGCCCTTAAAACAGTAGTTATTTATTCTCATGCATCTGAGGGTTAGCCATGGAGGCTTTGCTTCTCACTGCAGTCTGCGGGTTAATAGTGGTGACTCTGCTATAAGTGTCTCTAGTCTTACCTTTCTGAAGGTGAGAGCGGAGCTGCAGGAAGGCAGGAAGAAATGTGGCCTTTGAAGGCCAGGACTCAGAATTGGCGCTGTGTGCTTCTAATTATGTATTGCTGGCCAAAAGCTAAAGTAGAGTCAAGAGATAGAAAAGGAAGTTCTGCCCAAAATGAGGCTATGGCAGGAATGTGGATGAAGTAAGGAGTCAAGAACTGGGCCCTCAAATGTAATTTACCATAAATAATAATCAATGTACTTTCTCATTGCATTGCCCTCACAATTAGCTTTGAAAGTGTCTGTAAAGTGCTTACGATTGGCTGTGCCCTCTAAGGTAATAGCAGGGTGCCTGGAGGTGGGCCCTTTACTGGGTGAGGCTCAATGATAAATTGGGGGCTAAGGGTTTTCTTCTTTGATTTGGGCAGATGTTAGAGGGGGTGTCTTCTGAAGGTGAGGAAATGTGCAGTCTTCCTGGATCCATCAATTTCCTGCTTCCAAGTACAGTATTGGTCCTCATCTCACACACCAAAGAAAGCAAATGGATTTGATTAGCAAATACTTTCATCTACATCCTAATTGAAGTCTCTGAGACTTCCTTGTTTTGGAAAATCCCATTTTAATTCACAGCACATCAGGTAGCCAAAAGAATTTCCTCTCCCATCAGCTGCCCCATCCCTCCCAAACCAGGGAGTTTATCCACCATTTTCTCACCAGCCCCCTCAGTCTGTTTCTAGAGGGATGCATCTAGGGTGATGGCTGGAAGATTCTCCTGCAGGTATTGATTCATTCCATGAACTGTTCAATCCAATGTATTTACAACAGAGGCAAAGGACAGCCTTCAGTTGTGCCCAGTCCAGATGTCCTTGCTCTGTGGCACTATCTACTCCCCACCAGGACCCCTGAGATGCAAAGCTCCCTCTCCCTGGTAGAGGTTGCTGCAGTGAAACTAAACTGTAGCTGAGAAGGTGACCATGTGGCCAACTGAAAATTCTGACCAGTTGGCACACTGTTGTCTCCAAATGAGCCGGCAGGAAACAGAGTTTCCTAAAACTTGGTTTTAAAGCACTTAGAACAGGAAACCATTTCCCATGCATGTTAGATCTCTCTAATGACCGGCTAACTAGAAACAGGCTATCTTAATACTCTGCCCCGAGCCATTACAAATGGCTTTCTTTCCAGACTTCATTAGAATATTTACTGCTATTTGGATAGAAGACTTTTGACACTGCAGTCATAAAATTTACAAAGAATCATTTTTTGCTTGTTTTTTGTTTATTTTCCTTTATTTTTCCAGTCTAAGAAGAACTTGGAAGAAGCGAGGAAAGCCCTCAACTCCCCCAGCCACCAATTTCACTCATTAGTGGTCTTTGTGTCTCATGACCTCTAATTGAGAAAATAAACATCCCTGTGGTAATCCAATAAATTGCCTTAAGAAAAAAACAGCTCCATCTCTCTTTTGTCAACTCCTGCGTCTTTCAGAATTACAACAAAAAAGAAGAAAAGCTGCAATGTGTGCACCTTCTATATGAATCTTCTAAACCATCTTCTAAATGGGATCCTATCCCCATTTCACCTCTGAGAAAACTGAGGCCGAAAGTCACCAAAGCCACACAACGAGTGACAGAGCTAAGATTGGCATCCAAGTGACATTGAAACACAGCTCTCTCTGATCACTTTCACTGCTCGTAATAATCCTCAAAGCAGATCCAGTCTGCACAGGCAGTGGCTACTCTATGAAAAAAAACTTTGGATCCACATTCACATTGTCTTAAATTTTATGCATCTAATACCTTCATAAAAATGATCGATCAGAACTCTAACAAAATTGATGTTAAGTCTCTAATCAGAGAAAGGTCACTGTGGGACATTGATGTTGCACTGTTTGCAATAGTGCAATATTCAGTTGATCTTGCAGTTGCTGAGTGGTGACATCAGCCATTAGGAAAATATAGCAGGGTAAATGAATAGTGATATTGACGGGGGACATTGGGAGAGCCATTTCGCATTCAGGGAGGGATTCTGATGAGGGGGCATTTAAGTGGCATTCTGAGGAGGGGGCATTCTGCGGTGGTAGAAAATGTATATGTTTGAAGAACAAGTGGCCCCAAACTGAGCATGGTGGCTCACGCGTGTAATCCCAGCTCCTTGGGAGACCGAGTTGGGCAGACCATTTGCAGTCAGCAGTTCAGCCTGGCCAACATGGTGAAACACGGTCTCTACTAAAAATTTTTTTAAAAATTAGCTGGGCATGGCGGCAGGCACCTGTCATCCCAGCCACTTGGGAGACTGAGGCAGGAGAATGCCTTGAACCCAGGAGGTAGAGGTTGCAGTAAGCTGAGATTACACTACTGCACTTCAGCCTGGGTGACGGAATGAGACTCTTTCACCCAGAAACAAAACAAAACAAACAACAACAGTGTCCCCAAGTATCTCTGATAGTGTTCTTGTGATCTAGAGTTGCACTGATAACTTTAGGAATTCAAACCTGTGGTCTAAGGTTGCATTGATAATTTTTGGTATTCAAAGTTCAAAGTTCTCTGTCTGTAGTATTAATGATCTAAAGTCCGCATTCCTTGATCACATAGTTTATCTGGTGTCCAAAACATCTCCACTGAGTCTCATTTTGATGTTATGCCTTTGATTTTTATTACAGGATGTATGAAAAATGCTTCTCCACTGTCAGTGAGGCTTCATGGAATACACAGTCCGCTAAGCCACTCTATGAAGACAGCCAAGAAAAAGATAATCGCTCCTAAAACCAGTGTGTTTTCCCTCAGTAAGTAATCAACAGTATACAACTTACCATGTTTCTCCCTTTTTGCCTTGATTCCTAAGAAGCTCAAGGTTAAATTGAATATTCACTTAAAATAAAAAAGTTAGCCGTAGCCTTCAAGGCTTTTGAGTATTTCTAATGCTTAATCGTGAATCTGCTTTTCATTCCAAGAAGGCTTTAGTTCTCTTGGACCGGTGTATAAATAACACATGTACATAAAATCATGGGTGCCAAGGGTATAAGAAGTGATGATCTGCCTAAAAATGCACTTGGGTTTCTATTATTAGTGCTGTAGATAAGCCATTGTTTATCATTCCGTTTACATGGAGGCCAACCGTGTGACCAGATTGGAAGAAAAAAGAAGACAGAAATATTGCTATAGAACCATATGCGAATGTCTGCCTCCTCCAATGAATCACATCCCCCATATTCTGCCACTTTGTGTCATCTTCTCTCACATGCACACTGGGCTTGGCCATGTGATGTGCCTTAGCCAGTGGGACATCAAGCAGAGGCTTGATAAGCAATCACTATGTGCATTGCCTTCTTGAAATGTTTTCAACACCACGTAAGACAGCCAGGTCTAGCCTCCTTCCTTGAGGATGAAAGATCGCATGGAGAGAGAGGCCTAACCATTATAGCTGATCCTCCAGCTCTATGCAGGCTCAGGAGTGAGCCCAGTTAAAACAAGCAACTAAAAAGAATAATGGGAAACGAGAAATCTTAGTTATTCCAACCCTCAGTTTTAGGATAGCTTGTTACACAGCACTAGATGATGAATACAGATGTCTACATATTACTTTTAGGACCAAAATTCTAGAATATTGTTACTATATATTTGGGTTCAATAAGTACTTGGTACATCCCTTAAAACATCGAGGGCCCCTGAAAGACTAATGTTGCCAGGAAGTAAAACATACCAACTGAAACACAAATTTTCTGTAAATTTACCATACAGAAGGCACCTCGCTTGGCCGAGGGGAGTGCTTTGATAAAAACACATAACCACTATCTTCAACAAGCTTAGTAGATGATAAGGCCAACATAACTTAGATAGCCTGGGATTGGCAGAAGAACAGAGAGAGAGATGAAAAAGTAGAATATTCTAAAAACAGATTCTAATAAATACTGGCATGCAATATACAGTAAAAGCAGCAACCATATCAAAAGCAAACCAAAAAAAAAATAGGAAAAAGTTTTCCATATATAGTACTAGAATAATGTTAGCTAATAGAAAAAAACAAAACCAGTGAAGTTAAAACTTCATCTCATACCGAGACTGTAGAGATTACTCACAGCAGTATTATGCTTACATTGATTTTTCATAATTATTTAGATATTTTAATAGTCGTTTATGAAACTGGTGGCAGCCTGAAATCAGTCATCAAGGGAGTATTTATACCACATTAATTGGTAAATGTTAGAAATCAGAGCTTTTCCAAGAATGTTTAACAAGACACCATTAACAAGGGAAAAGATTTGTATATTTGGACACACAAATATTGAAAGTTAGTTTATAGAAAATTTAGGAAATGCATTTGACTAGATAGTATATTTCATTTATATGAAAAAATATAGGTATGTATAGA